AGGCCCTCTAATTGCCTTGCAGGTGGTCGTCTCTCCCTCTGTCTCACATGGTCTTTCCTTGTGTGTGTTCTAATCTCTTCTTACAAAGAAAGACATTTATAAGCTGTTGGAACTAAGAAGGGCTTAGGAATCCATTGGAACCCCTTCTCTTTTTCAGATGAGGTATTCAAAGAAGCCAACATCCAAATAACTAAAACCAGGAGTAGAATATAAGCCATGTCATTGATTCTTACTTGATCACAAAAATGATTCCCAAAATAGATGAGCATCAGAACCAACTTAGCAGCTTTTTTTTCAAGAAAAAAATTTATGAAAACATATTCCTGAGATTTTGATTCAGTAGATCTAGTGTCAGCTGAGGAATCAGTATTTTTAAGGAGTTCTGAGTAATCATAAAGAGTCTCATACATGTTGTACTTGTGAAATAGGTAATTATGTAGCCTTTTCCCTTGTAGGTTAGTGTTTTTACAAAAGGAGGTATGGTTTGATTTTCAGCTAGGAGAAAGACAAAATGAGGGGAAAACATGGAAATTGATCAGTTTGTTATTTTCAGTAACAAAAAAAAAATGTGGCATAGGATATTTCCATTGGAAAAGGGCTTCTCAGTATATGCCATGTCTCTCATTTCTATCTAGATAATTAGAATGACATATTTGGTAAATTGGCCAAATCAGATTTCAACAAAACTTAGACTTTTTTATAATTGTTAGAATTTAGGAAAACAAGAGACTCTACTGTGGAAATTGTGTAGAGGGAAATGTATTTAATTGAAGCCTAGGAAAATAAAAACATCTTCCTTTAGGAAGGACCATATGTTTTCAGCTTACATCAGCGCATGGGAATGTGTGTATCTACAAGTTACCCTCACAGCCATATTCTATGGTTTTCCAATGAATTGGTTTCATTGATAATAATAATGAAATTGTATGCCACAGTATTTAATTCTGGTGTCCAGGTAAGTGACTTGGTAGTCAGAATCAGGCAAATAGAGGTAATTTTCTTTAAGAGTAAGATCTTCCTTTTGAAAATAATAAGTTAACCAAATGCATGAAGATAGTTTTCCGATTTTATTTTGTATAGTATGTAGATTTTTCATTACCCTCTCCTCCCTTCTGGGGGAGAGGTTCTTGGCCTGGAAAACTTAATTAAGTAAACAACCAGTATCAAACGGCAATTTTTTCAACGTGAATTGATTCTTCCGCTTGTACTTGAAACATTGATGGTGTGTTTAATAAACATTAGTTAATTAAATATTGGATATTCCGATGCTTTTTTATTTTTATTCTTGACTTGCAACTTGGTTCCTAATAAATTTTTCTCTAGGAAGCATTTTTTCCTTCCTGGTTAGCTTAATATCGATTACCTACCCTACCATATTTGGAAGCGGCTTTTAGTTTAAGTTGCTCATTCTGAAGTTGGGGAAAATAAATTGAAGAAATATCTTTGATCACTCTGTTTCCATCATTTTTCTTGGCTTTTGGTGTCAGGAAAAACACTGAATACTAACATGTGGGTTAATACAGATCAAAGAAAATCTCATTTGCTTTTTGATACATTTTATTGGAAACAACTTCATGTCTCCAGATTTTAACCTTGTAAGTGCTCTTCAACTCATTTCCCAACTCAAGGCAATTAAAGCTGAGGGCTCTAGCATTCCCACTGTACTCCGATCAGCTGTGAGTCCAAACTCCTGAAACAATTACAGGGTTCCCCATAGTTTCATTAAAACTTTGGCACTGTTTGCCAAGATGGGTTTTGATCTTTTGTAGTTTTTCGTAGAAAGTCCTGTTTTTACTCTCATCTACTCTTTCAATTTACTCTTCCATCATTATTCTGGTTTTGAAAGAAAATGCATTGTTCTACAGAAAATATTCTGATTATTTGAAGTTTCTCTATGTGTCTAATTCCATGTGTTCATGTACTTACCTCCTAACCCTATTAAATAAAGAATATAAAATGCTGAGAGGTTGAGTGATTTGTTCCTAATCACAAAGCAAACTGAACCAGTTAGGCTACCAGAACAATAGTAATCTGTTTCTAAAAGCATTGGCATTTTACATGAAAGCCCATCTTTGGTTATTTCTTCCCATTCTTTCTTTCTCTTCTGGCCCTGATGGCCCATAGTTAGGGTGATACACTGTAGTTGAAGCAGCATGAGCACCTGAAACTCCAAGAGAAAAACTCATCCTTCTGGTCATAGAAACTGGGAAAAATAGGCCCTGTGGTCTGAAGAATGGAGAAAAGGAGGTAGATTGAAATTCCTTTTACCTTTTTTCTTTTCTCTTAATGTCTTTGCCTCAAGGGCACCCAGCCCCAGTTTCTCAGAACTACATGGTGGTACAGGTGGCTACAACTCTTGAGAAGCCCTTTTTTTCTGCCTTGAATACCAGGGTTAAAGAACCTTTGGTAGTTGGAGAGTGGGGAAATCCTGAAGGGGTGAGAGAGCTGGAAAAGAGCATCTCTTAGTTCTGTGTATGAAGTGACACAAGTTCCAGCCTCACCACCCCTCCTCTGGACCCCAAGTTGTGCATGCACAGAACAAGCAGATTAACAAAGGCTTTGAGAACTGAATTAAGATCTAAACCACTGCTTAAGTGCCTGGCTAATCCCTGAGATACACATGCATGAGACTGACCCAAAGCAATATAACAAAAGGTTTTGAAAGTGAGCTAATACTGAAATCCCATCCCACAGAAAGTAAGGCAGAACTAGTTTAATCTAATAAGGATGACTGTTTTAAAAGATAAAAGCTCCAGAGAATTTAAATAGGAGCCAGAGGCTCATGATATAATACTCAGAATGTCCAAGGTAATTCCAAAATTACTTGGACAGAACCAGGAAAATGTGACCAATTCTCAAGGGAAAAGACAACAGATGCCAACCCTAAGATAACCAAGATGTTGAAGTTTTCAAAGGCCTTAAAGATCTGTTTCATGAGGTGGTGATAAACACTCTTGAAACAAATGGAAGAAGTGATGTTCTCAACAAAGAGAAAAACCAGGCAGAAATTTTCAAAATGAAAAAATACCTGAAATGAAAGGTCCATTGGGTGGGCTCAGTAGATGTTCTTTAAGTTAAAGGAAAATGAGAAAGAGGAATGGGAAATACCTAAGTAATAATAAACTACTTTTCTCAAATTCTTAATACTATTGAAAGCAAATAAGAGATCATTTGTTGGGGTGTTTAATGTTAATGTGGATGTAATACAAAAGACAACTAAAAAGGGGAGAGTAAAGGGACCTATGTGGTTGCAAGGCTACATTTTCCTTAAAGTAGCAAAATTATTAGCTGCATGGATTGAGAAAAGTTAGGTATTTATATTGTAATTTCCAGAGGAACCATTATAAAATAATAGTACAGGTATAGCCAAAAAGCCAATAAATAAAAATGAAATACTCTAAAGCACTCAGGTTATCAAAATCAGGGCAGGATAATATTGAGGGAAGAGAGGAAGACAAGTGACAAAACAATAAACGACATAAATCTTACCATATCAAAAACCATACTAAATGTAAGTAGTGTGAAGACATAAAAGTCAGAAATTTTCAATTGGATTTTTTTTAAAAGGAAGAGTTAAATATATGTTGCCTAAAACAAACCTATTTTAAATAGACAAGAGTAAAAGGATTGAAAAGAAAAGCTATACAAACACTTGTTTAAAGTAAGAATGGTTTTATTAGTATCAGACAAAGTACACTTCAGGACAAGGGAAATTACATAATAATAAAAGGGTTAATCTTCTAAAAACACAACAATCTTAAAAGCATATGCGTCTTGTAGCAGACAGACTTTAAGGTGACCTTCATGAATCGTATATCCTGATATTCACACATTGTATAAACTCCACATCTTCAGAATGGGTTGAACCTGTAACTTGATTATAACCAACAGAATATGGCAACGTGGTTATGTTACATTATATGACAAAGGTCATTCCCAATTCTATATTGCATTATATAAGACCATTTTGCTAGTAGATTTGCTCTGTAGGCCTCCCCATGTTTGAAGAAGCCAACTGCTATGAATCCTAGTGCTGCTAGGAAGTGAATTCTCCAATCAACCTAAGTGAGTTTGGAAATGAGTCCCATCTCAGATGACAACCCAGTGCTAGTCAACACCTTGACTGAAACTTTGCAGAAGACCCAGCTAAGCCAGGTGCAGACTCCCAACCCACAGAAAAAGGAAAGGATGGGGTGAGAAGAGAGAGAATATGAATACCTATCCACAAATATCTATCACTGGAAATGGAGAACCACTGGGAAAGTTCTTTTTAAGCTTCAGAAATAAATATGGGTTTGGATTCCAGCTTTACTTATTGTCTTTTTGACTTAACTTCTTAAACTAGCCATGTGCGAAGACTAAATAAAGTGTTGCTTTTCTTGATCATAAAATGGGGAATAATAATCATACCTTTCTCATGAGATTGTTGGGAGAAATAAAATGAGATGATTCACATAATCCTGGCACTTCACACAGTGCCTAGCACATAGTAAGTGTATAGTGTGTGGGGGGTCTAGTTATTTTCAATGGTCCTTTTGTGTTTTTGAGAATGATGGTTATCCTCAAGGATGCCAGGAGGGTTGCTTCTTCCTTCCCCAGTGGTATGGTTTGGCATTCATTCATCCATTTATTCTACCAACATCCATCAGCTTCCACACTCTGCCAGACCTTGGGCCAGAAGACTAATTTCAAGACTTAGAAAAAAATTCCTTGTAAGAGACTACCAAAATTCACACAAGAAAAATAGATAACCTGAATTATACTTTATCTATTTAAAAAATTGAATTCATAGTTAAAAACTCTCCATCAAAAAAATTTTCAAGCACATGTAGCTCGTTGGGTGAATTCTGCCAAGTATTTAAGGAAAAACTTATACTAATTCTACACCTATTTTCCAGACTGTAGAAGAAGAGGAGATACTTCTCAGCTCATTTTTTGATGCCAGCATATTTGTACCATAACTAGACCAAAAAAAGTATTTAAAAAAAAAAGATGGGTGAATTCTGCCAAGTATTTAAGGAAAAACTTATACTAATTCTACACCTATTTTCCAGACTGTAGAAGAAGAGGAGATACTTCTCAGCTCATTTTTTGATGCCAGCATATTTGTACCATAACTAGACCAAAAAAAGTATTTAAAAAAAAAAGACAGTACGTTATGACCAAGTGGGTAGATCCAAGGCTGGTTCAAAAGTGGAAAATCAGTCAATTCACCATATTATCCAAACAAAAAAGGAAAAGTCATGATCATCTCAATATATGCAGAAAAATCATTGATAAAATTCAACATCCATTCATGATTAAAAAAAAGCAAATGCCTCTCAGCAAACTAGGAATTTATGGGAACTTCCTCATAAAGGGTAAAAGGCATCTTTCAAAAAAAAAAAAACCTACCAGCAACATCATACTTATTAGTGAAAGATGGAATGTTTTTCCTTTAAAACTGGGAGCAAGACAAGGATGTCCACTCTCACCATTTCTATTCATCATTATTCTGGATATCCCAGCCAGCGCAGTAATACAAGAAAAATACATGAGGTATCCAGATTGGAAAACATGGAACAGTATTCACAGAAGACATGATTTCTACATAGAAAATTCCAAGGAATCTACAAAAAAAAATAAATAGAATAAAAAAGTGAATTTAGCAAAGTCTTGAATTACAAGATTAATATGCAAAAATTGTATTTCTGTATACTACCAATGAACACTTGGAATTCAGAAATTTAAAAAAAACTCATTTACAATAGCACAAGAAAATTAAATAGGTATTAATCTAACAAAATATGTGCAGGATTTGTATTCTGAAAACTACAAAGCACTGTAAAAGAAAGACAAGCTAAATGAATGAAAGGATATATACTTGTTCTACAACTGAAAGACTTAATATTGTCAAGATGTCAGTACTTCCTGTACTGATCTACAGCTTCAGCAAAATCCAAATCAAAACCCAGGAGGATTTTTCCATAGATAACAATAAGCTGATTCTAAAACTGATACCAAAAGGCAAAGAAACTAGTTCTAACAATTTTGAAGTGAACAAGGTTGGATTATACCTCCTGATTTCAAGAATTACTGTAAGGCTATAGGAACCAAGATAGCATAGTCCTGGCAAAAGGGTAGGAACATACATTAGTGGAAATCGATCTATAAAAGTAATGGTCAGTTGGTTTTTTTCAAAGGTGCAAAGCTATTTAATGAAGAAAGAATGCTCTTCTTTTAACAAATGGCGCTAGAACAGCTACATACCTAAAAGCAGATAAAATGAGCCTTGACCCATACCAAATAAAAATTAATTCCAAATGGGTCATAGCCCTATATATAAAACTATACCACTTCTAGATGAAAAAATGGTAAAAAGAAAAGTCTTTGTGATTGTGGGTTAGGTGAAAAGTTCTCAGATACATCAGAAGTACAATCCATAGAAGCAAAAATTGATCATTGTACTTCATCAAAATTTAAAACTTCTCTGCAAAAGACTGTTAAAAGAATGAAATAAAATAATTGCAAATCACAGAACTGTCAAAACTCAACCATAAGAAAACAGGTATTTTACCCTATTAGATACATGAATGGCAAATAGTGCATGAAAAGATGCACAACATAATTAATCGTTGGGGGAATACATATTAAAACCATGGAGAGATACCCACACCAAGTGTGGGTAAAGATGCAGCTAGAATTCTCAGACATTGATGACAGAGGCACAGAAATGAGGACCACTTATAAAAAGAGTGGCAGTTTCTTATCAAGTTAGGCATAACTTATATGACCCAGTAATTTCAGTCCTAGATATTTTACCCAACTGAAGACTTATGTTCACACAAAGTGTCTATATGAATATTTATATAGCTTAATAATTGCCCCAAACTAGGAACAACCCTAATGCATTTTAATTGGTGGATAGATAAACAAAGTGGTACCTCCATACAGGGAAATACTATTTAACAATAAAAAAAGAATGAGCTAGTATTACAACACTTAAGTGAATCTAGACATTATTTATGATGAGTGAAACAAACCAGCCTCAAAATGTTCCATACTGTTATTCCATTTATGACATTCTGGAAAATATAAGACTGTAAGGGATGGAAAACAGGTTAGGGGTTGCCAGAGATTGTGGGTGAGAAGAAGGGTTAATACAAAGGAAGAACATTAGGTCATTTTCTGAAGAGCTTTCTGTATTTTGACTATGTTAATAGTTGTCAAAACTGAGGACTGTACACCAAAAAGAATGAATTTTATTCTGTGTAAATTAAATAAAATTAAAAAAAAGAAATATAGCCCCTATATAAAAGACATATCACACTTGGAATTATTTATTCAATTCACAGCTTCTATACTAAAAGCTCCAAGAGAGCCATACTTTATCCTTACCACTAAGAATTTCTAACCCAAAGATATGCAACCACCCAACTTAACTGCTCTGAGATACACGTGAGTGAGCCAGGTCTAATGTCCTCAAGTATTAAGAGACCACACAAAGGAGTGGTTCAGCCAGCCACCACTGATCACCAGTACTGGATGTGCGCATGAGGCCAGCCTGGCCCATCCAGTACAGTCAGGCCACCAGCAGGTTACAGTCGTGTGACATGAAGTGCAACTAGCAGAAGAACTGCCCAGCTGAGTCCACATCACTAGTGTATGGTATTGTGAGCAAATACACGGTTGTTGATTTAACTACCCTGTCTTGTGGGTGGTTTGTTCGACAGCATTACATAGCTGGCATTACATCAAACATGGAGAGGCAGATTATGTTGGATACCCCCCAAATTCTTTTTTTACTTTAGAGATGTTACAGGAAATTCTTTGGTCTCAGGGGCAGGGTGGAGGGTGGGGTGGGGTTATTAATAGCTATTATCTATTATCTTAATAGAAATAGAGATTTCTGTTAGATGATGTTTTCCTGCATAAAGCCCAGGTAATGTACTATACTAGCCATATCTATAGTCATGTGTTCATCCCTTGTGGTTATATTTTAAGAGAGATATTCAGAAATTATGGTACAGAGAAAGTCAAAGAATGAGAGGGCTGAAGGAACCAACAATTTATAGACAGAATAAGGGGGGACATTGTGGCTGTTCTTAATATTTGATGGACTTTGTAAAATCCTGTGTTGTTTCAAATCCAGAAACTGGATTAATATATAGAACTTAAAGGAAGGAATGTTTCAGACTCAATGTGAAGGAAGAATTCTGACCAAAAGTGAACTGTGCTGCTTCAGACAGCCATGAGGCAGCTCTCATGAGAAATGTTCAAACGCACTGAACAGTCAATCTTAGAGATGTTTTCTGTACTGAGTATGCAAGTGATTGCCATATAGAGTAAGACACTGTACTAGGTAATTTTCTAAAGTTCGTTTAGACTCGAGTGTTTTAATTATTTGGCATCACAAAATTCATAGCCATGTTTTAGCACTTTGACTTTTAAACTTGCTGTCCTTCCAGATATTCCCTGATGCAGGTAACCAAAGTTGTTTTTCCCTCATATTCTGTAGGAACAGTGATTTGTTTGCAAATTGAATCCAAACAAGCTGGAGATATTTTTTTTCTCTCCTTCGTACAGCTTATTAAATGACCATGTGTACGTACCAGGGATTGTTTCAAAGGATGAAGTGAAAGTCACATCTAGCCTGCCCTGTTCAGCCAAAAACTACTACAGACAGGACCAGTTTCATGGTAATGTGAACTGCGCTGTTGCATAGAGGCCCATGCTTGGTTTAATGGTCTGCTATTATTGTTTTGAAACTCTTAAGAATTGAATAATGGGTCCCACAAATTCTGTAGCCAGTCTGGACTAAGATAGCCATCTCTAGTTCCTCACTACCCACTCACTCCTTGTTGTCTTGCACTGACTTCTGCCTTTATTATTGAGTAAAAACTTTCTCAAGTTCACTGCTTAATGCCAATTTCCATAGTCTCTCCTTAATCCTCATCCATTTTCATCTGTCTAAAACATCTGATATTGTTGACAGTGCATTCCTTTAAATTCCTTATTTGGTTTCCATGACTCTGTATGGAAATAGTTTTCTTCTTATCTCTTGTTTGATAAAGCCAACTAGAATGATGGAATTAAGTTACTAATCACAATATATGCCTCAGAGTTTTTCTTTGTCTAGAATGAGCCCATACCTTATGCACTAGGATATTTTGGTACTCCCTTATCTTCATAGGGTCAGTGACAAAATGATTATGAAATGGATAAATTTAAAAGCTGAACTACAATCCTACATGGTTGGTATTACAAGTCATATATAGGGTTTTTTAAAATTATTGTTTTGTTCTGCTTTCCTTAATGCAGCAATGCAGTGAAGAACATACCAAGGGTTTCATCAGATGAATATATAAATGGTCGTAAATTTCCTCGAGTCTCTGTCACGAAATAATCAATAACGCTGAATAGGTTTGGGAGTGTTACCTGTATAAGAGAGTTAGAGAAGGCTCAGTGTCATCTGTGTAAAGATAGAGTAGGAGAAAGCTCAACTGAAATTTAATGGAGATAGCTATGCATTTCCTGACCTCCAGAAAGTTGTGCAGATACTTCACTTCAGTGGCTTACTGAATGGTTAAGGTTTTACTAATTCATGCATTTTATTTCTCCTTTATTACTATATCCGATTCCTGGTGGAAGAATCACCCTTTTTCCATAGGATACATTTGGTGGACAATAATTAGGTCCTCTACTCTTCCCCAGTTACTGCATGCAAATGTGACTCAGGTTAGAAAACACTTCCTTTCTGAAATTTGAGCTTGAGGTGAGGAGCAAGGAAGCAGAGCATTCCTAATCAGTTGGTTCTTACTGCAACTAACTGCCTCCTAGTCCCTGAAGGTTATCCAGCCTTCCATTCCTTCTTTGTGCTTCTAATGCTGTTAAATTCATTTCTGTTTGCATTAGGCATGGTTGGTTTCTTCTGTTTGAAACTGAAGACCCATTAAAGCCAGAGACTTGGACATTTTAATACCTCATTGTAACAGGATAATTTGCTGGGCTTGGAGCCACTGAAACATGTTGCTACCTGCAAGCTAATATTTTTATACAAGTAAAACCAGATTAAACCTGGTCCCTAGTAACCTTGAAGAGGAAACATAATTCACAAAATGACCATCTGGTCGAGGGGTAGGGCTGGGGAAATGTGGAAGGTGAAAATCCAGGTCATAAGCTCCCCTTACACTGGAAACTGTAGGGCCCATAACAGATAAATGAGCCCCAGTTCACCAGTTGCAGAGGTACTTTCTTCTTCCCTGACCATTGCTTCCAGTCAGTTGGTTATTTGGATTATCTTTCAGCAATCTAGTTTCCTGTTTCCTTCATTAGCATTTTTGAAAAAGCCCAGTTAGATGTAGACATGAGAACTAAGAAGCTCTGGGAAGTGCTTAACAGCAAAGTGGAACGTATGAATCAGCAGCTGCCCTGATCTTTGCAAAAGTCACTACTGTGACACCAAGGGTTAAGGTCTAAATATAAGAAATTCAATACAATAGGCCTGAAAAGTAGAGGAACTCCGAGTTCAGTTTTAGAGAAGACCTCATAAATATCTTCAAAACACATTGGTTCCACTTAAATTTAAGTGATACCACTTTCCTGGCCTAGTCTTCCCACCACTGCAGCCAAACGTTCACAGAACTGTATTCTCTTTTTTCAGCATCCTGGACCACATGCCACGTAATTCTCATTGGTTGAGATTGGTTTTATACCAGCAAATATCACCTATCCCATCTGGATAATTTAAGGCATTACCTCTCAGTAATGATAAAGATTAAATTAGATGGTATATGTAAAGTACTTAGCTCTGTACCTAACACAGTACTTAATGGTTATGATATTATACCATTAGCTTGTGATAAGTCGGTTAGGGCAGGAGAGGGGCTGCAGACAAGGACAAAACCCTTTCTTCACTATTATGTTGCTACTAAGGGGGATTTCTGATCTTCTGCATAGTATGTTTTAGAGGAGAAAGCATTCACAGATTATTTTTTACCATTAGAAATAAGCACACTAAAATACTTATAATTGGAGGGTAAAACAGATGCTTAACAAAAAATATTTTTCTCTCCCTGAAACAACTATTTTGACAAAGATTGCAGAAGAAGGAAGATGGAATCATTAGATTATCTTCTACTTTGCCTCATCCACCTGCTCTTGCAGCCCACTTCTCACCCTCAATATCTGCCACCTTCATGTTTCTTTAAATGGCCAGTTTTCATCAGCAAGGTGTTTCTAGCTAAGTGGTTGCTTTTCTACCTTGCTGTACAATCTTTAAGATAGGTTTTAGAGGAAGCAGGAGAAAATTCATCAGCAACAAGAAAATAACTACTTACAGGTTTTTCCAGTTCAATAGTATAGTTTTTTCCAATACTCATTACTTTGTAGTGCTTGATTCTTGGCATGCTAAAATGAAAAAAAATATATAATTACTCTCCATTCGAGAATATATTGGGTATACAATATAAAATGAGTATAAAATATCACCTGTGTAGTAAAACTTATGTTTCTATGACTTCAGTTTGGAAAAAAATGTGTTCTTTGTTTTTCTATTTTACATAGTTTTCTATATTTCTTTCTGGGGGATTACATACTAGGAATATAGGAACCCTAGGTCACTGAGTGGGTAAGAAAGAGTAACAGTGAGGAAAAAAATTCAAGAGCTAAAAATCTTTTAGGCAGAAATTTTTTTTTTAAATATCAATAATTTACAAATTAGACAACATTATAAAATCCTATGTGGGTATATACAAATCAAACCTATATTTTCTATATTAATAAGGAAGCAGAAAGAGTTACTGAAAGCAAATTACTTTCTACTCTGCTCATCACTATTCCAATCAGAAAGCCTTCAATTCTTTCTTCTGGTTATATACCATCTTGGATATCTGCTAATCTCAGGGCTGATTTGGAGATATGGACATGCTAGATGATAGATACTATATAAGAACATGTTGGTAAGAATGGAAGTACAGTAGATGAATCTTATTGTCTTTCTCTTCTAAAGTCACAAAACACTCTAAATTACCACCCTAATTCACAGTATTTTACTGACTAGAACTGTTTAAGATTAAGAAGCACATCTGTTCACCTTTGTATTCCAGCATTAAGCACACAATAAATACTCATGAATCTGTATTTTAATATATTATGAGTCCATTTCATATGCTATTTGCTAGAACTAAGAGCAGAAGTCAGTATGTTGACTTTGGATTCTCTTGATTCATATGGAAACAGTTTCAGGACCAAGAATTTTTCTAATGATAAGAAGCTACACATCACTTTGCCATTTGCTTGAAGACAAACTAATTCAACATATGACCAATTCACAGAAGCAATCTAAATTTTTCTATCAGGTTTGTCTACAGGGTGTCCCACTTTCTTGATCTCTCCTCTCCATTTCCGGACCACATTCCTCTAGGACTGAACATTCTATTCAAGGGACTCTCCTCATCCAAACCTTTTCTTAATTGGATATTACTTTGGAAAACAGCCAATCATTTTACTCCAGTGGCTTACTCTAGGGCTTTACTTTGAAAACAGGATAAAACCTAAAAAAAGAATCCAAAAAAAAAGAAAGTATTCCTTAATGCTGAATCTTTGAGAATCAGGTTACATTTTTGGACAGAGAAAGTCTTAGAAGAACCTTCCTTTGTGGTGGTTAGCCCTAACTTTATCTTTAACCCTAACATGAAAACACCTTTACAGTCATATAGTTACTTTTGAAAATACACTAATTCCAATTAGAATTCGTGTATTCTTATGAAATAAGTGATAGGTTCAAATTCTGATTCTGTTGGAGTGAGCTCTCTGAGCCTTCATTTCTTCAGCTATAAAATAGAGATGGAGATGGTAATGTCTTTCCTCCAGCGTTGTCATGAATTAATGTTTGAAAAGTCCTTAGTACCATATCTGGCACATTTAGATACTCTGTAAATTATAATTATTTATACTACTTTTTAAATGTATTACTTTAACTTAGTAATTCTCTAAGTCTCAGCTTCTTCATTTGTAAAACATGGAAAATGCTGTCTGTCTCAGTTTTTAGTGTGCCTGAAGGAAATGTTTGTCAAGCTCTCAAGACATCACCCGCAAATGGTACCCTGTAAGCAAGGACACGATTGCTGTTGTTAATAATAGCTATAAACATTATTGCCATTCATGATGAAGCTGTGGGAGGAAAAGTAACAAAGATGAACAGGATCTCTTGGAACTTTTGACTAATTGGACTATCTTCTGTAGAAAGTAAGGTAGAAAAAAAATTTCATTGAAGTCACTTAGGTTTTGACTCTCATTTTAAACCTTTGCTTTTCTTTCATATTTTGTTTTGTTTTTTCAAAGAAATAGGAAAAAAATGAGGTTGATAAAATTTAGTATGTGGAGGTTTCCTGACTGTGACCTCAAAAGAGACATAACCTGTCTTTAAAGAAAATGAATGGCCTTAAAAGTGGTTATAAATACTTGTTCTTAGCTTAAATTCATTCCTTTTTTTGCAAAGGAATCTATTTGGGGTAAATATGTTCTACTGCTTCCTTGGCTAATGGCTTTCCAAAGTGTTTATACTACTAGCTTGCCGTGTAGTCATAATAGTTTTAAGACAACAAAACCAAACCACAAAGTCTGTTCTACGAATGGCTTTATGTCTTATGAATTCACACACCACTGAGCTGCTAAAGGTGGATAATATTTTACATCAAGAGAAGAGTCACCTGATAATTTGGCTTTGAATGACTTGCTGAGAATTAGTCTTCCCTCCCACTGCTGATTTGTTAATGGATGGAGATAATTTTATTTTCACTGCTTTGTAAACCAACTTGTCCTTTCAGCTAGTGTTTTACCAGATACACTTATGTAAACTCACATGGCTGAACATTTCTCCTACAACCTGTAAGAGAATGAATTGGTTTTGTCAGTTCCTTCCTGACGGTCTAGATTTCTGCCAAACCTCTACATTAAGCTCTATATCTAATGAGCTAAAATTCTTCTGTTCTCTACAATTGCTATCTTTTAAAATTAAGTGATCTGTTTAACAGAAGATATTAAATTCAGGCATTCTAAAAGACTTGTTTGGAGGCATTAAAGAACAAATATAACGATATTAAAATCATAGATGTCTCCGGCTTGTAAAGAACATTTATGCAGTAACAGTTAAAATTTTTCTTAGCCACTTACAGGTATAAACTATGACCCAGAGCCTGAACAAGCATATACTGACTCCAGTCTTAGAATACTCTAGTTTGACCATTCACTCCTTACTTTTAAAATAGGAACTTTTTTGGGGGGCAGGGGGTGGGGAGGATGATGATTAGTTCTATGGAATGTGTAAGCCTTAATGATCATCAGCTGTACAAAAGCATGAGCATATAGAAATTATTTATATAATTTCATACTTGGAGTTTATTAAAATCAGAATTATGTAACTCCTTTGCCAGACTCTTATGAGTTTACATATAGATTAAATACAATACAAATGTAAGTAAAAATTGTGATGGTTAAGTTCATATCCTAAATACAGAAACTCATTGCATTTGGTCGCAAACCACACCTACAACAAAAAATGGTGTTATTTTTGATAGCTCACTGAAACAGAAAATGCAATGCAAATATTAGGTTAATTTAAACAATCTTAAAAGAGATCAGGCTGCTATTGTGCAGGAAGTATATAGTCTTTAAAGAGCCTTTAGGTATTGGGATTTTGTTCATTTCATGCAGAACAGTAACACAGAATTCATATGCAAATGGATCAAACTAGCACTCCATCCAAGAAAAGAATAAGAAGGAAAAATGTTGATCACTGTTTTTGTGATCTAAATTAGCTTTCAAGCAGATTAAATGTTTTTTAAATCTGTGAAATAAATTTTAATCCCATTCTTCTTTTTAGACTGGAAGAAAACAGTTAAAGACAGTCTGTACTTTGTGTGATACTCAATACCCTGAAAAGGACAAGCTCTTTGACCAGGATACAGTCAGCAGAAAAATTCACTTTTTCCAAGGACTTCTAAGCTCACTGATATTTAGTAGCAGTCATAACATTTATTTCTTCTCGATTTATTTCAAGATAGCCAATTTAATTTTAAATCAAATAAGATAAAACTGAACAATCTATTATATTCTACCATATTTGTTGAAAATCCATTAACTCTGAATGTTAGCCTATAATGAACAGAAAAATACTGAAACTACAAGAAGGTTAAATTGACACAGACATTCATTATACGAACACACACACACAGGTTCTCTTACTTCACACACAGAATTAAGGTCTAATATATCTAACATTCTTGCCTCTATTCAGTGCACAGGGCTAGTATATAAAAACAGTCTGTTTATATAGAGTAATTGGCAAGTGAATTTATCTCATTGGGCCATGGCTCATATTAGCTCTGCAGAGCCATAATGCCATAATTTTTATTTTGTTCTGTGATTATTTTCTTTTTACTGCCTTTATTCATTGTCAGTGTCTTTATATACTTAATCTATTTAGAATGATTGATATTTATGGTGGATTGGTAGATTTATTCACTGGTAGAGACATTGTAGCTAAAATAAATAGACTATTATGCCCCAAAAGAATGGCAAATTCAAGAATCAAAGTTCTCTTTTTGCTTTTATATGAAAGACGATCATATATTGTTTCATTTAGTATAAAAATATCTATATCTTTATTATCAGTTGTGACAGTGTTAACTAAGCCAGAATCCCTATTGAAATGCAAGTTTTCATACACACTAACAACTGGAGGGGACCTTAAAAGATCCAACTACCCTAGTTACAAAGAAAAGTCAACTTTTGCATGTGTTACTACTGACTTTATTAAAGGTAAACCATCTTTTAAAAAAGAATGTATTAACCTTGATGAGAGGCTGCTAAGTGATAGATAAGTTAGATTATGTCACTTCTTTTCTGTTCATCACAATCCAATGGCCTTTCACGTCATTCAGAGTATAACCCTTGTCCCTATAATAGGACCTCTGGGAATATGATATGCATTTGCTGCCTGGAATGGTCTTGTCTCAAATACTGACATGGCTCAAAATGGCCATCCTGCCCAAAGCAATATACAGATTTGATGCAATCCCTATCAAATTACCAACAACATTCTTCAACGAACTGGAACAAATAGTTCAAAAATTCATACCAAAGACCCCAAATAGCCAAAGCAATCCTGAGAAAGAAGAATAAAGTGGGGGGGATCTCACTCCCCAACTTCAAGCTCTACTACAAAGCCATAGTAATCAAGACAATTTGGTACTAGCCCAAGAACAGACCCACAGACCAGTGGAACAGATTAGAGACTCCAGACATTAACCCAAACATATATGGTCAATTAATATTCGATAAAGGAGCCATGCACAAACAA